TTTACAAGCTGAAGGAATAGACCTCGAACTATTAGACTTGTTAGACTTCTTGCGAAGGGATGTTGTGAAAACAAATTTACCTTTGTCTTTGCACCCAGAACTCGAAGGAGTTCCTTCAAGATGACTCTCAGTAATAGAAGAAGACTGAGAGGAAGAAGTGCTAGGAATAGAAGAGACGAAGGTGCCAAACTTGAGCATGGACCTGTCTTTAACACATTCTTCCTGATCATAGGAGAATCCTAGACCAGTCGTTATCTTAGTGGGAATCTGAGCGTTAATGATATCAGAGGCTTTGATGAAAGCTTTACACCACCCTTCAATGGTAGCTTTCTCGGCCTTGAGTTCAGCGATTGCTCGCTCATGCTCAACGATAGTCTTCTCACGTTCAACAGTGATGGCTTGGTTTACAATTACCTGATCTTTAAGATTTTCCTCAACTGAGGTCAGTTCTATGATCTTAGAATGACAAATCTTCAATTGCTCTTGAAGATCACATACCTGAGTAGAAGAAGAAGATAGCTCAGAGGAAGTAGATGCTTCTGAAGATCCTTCATCTGCATCTATGGCCATCAAGCAGATATAGGCTGTATCCTCTTCATCTGAGGATGATTCATCAGATGACTTAGCTCAGTCATGCTCTTTTGCAACAAGGCCTTTAGCCTTTCGCTGGTTGTTCTTCATCTTCCTGTACTTCTCCTTCAGTTTTGAATATTTCTCATCTTTGGTCCTGAAGGAGGAAGGAGCTTTGGAAGATGGCATCCTAGTCTTCTTTGATCTGCAATCACCTGCAAAGTGCTCTTACTGGCGAACCTCCTAAATGACTTAGTCAGGAGTGCTAGGGACTCATCAAAATCTGTTAATTCAGATTCTGGAATATTCTCAGAGATAGAAGAGTCTATCTCCGTGATAACAACGGGAGGAAGAGAAGCGACAAAAGGGGTAGAAGAAGTTTCAACTGAAGAAGCTTCAGAGATCAAAGCCAAAGGAGAGCTTTTCATTTCCCTAGAATCTTTTACAAGATTCCTCTTCAGTTGACGAGATTGCTCATGGTTAAGCAGAATCCCGTATAAAGTAGAAAGAGAAAAAATGGACATGTCATTGGACATCTTGATACACATTTCGTTTCCTGCAACCTTAACACAAAACAATTTTCCTTTTTTAAAAAGATCCTTGATCTTACCTGACTTTCCATTGGCTTTTAGCCCACAACTATTTAAGGATAAAATCTTCATTTTGATTTTGATTAATTCCAATCAACCACGACGAATCAGCAAGTCGTGCCTCCTTCCCTCTCAATCTCGACACCCCCTTTTTTCTCGACATCATATTGCACTCCGATAGCATTTCCAAGGACCTCCTTTGATTCTGCCACAACATCAACAGAGATAGGCTGAGAGCTTTGGAAAGACGATGATTTACTTTTACCACAGAACTCAAGCCCATAAATGACTTTTTTATTTTTTTGGGCCTGTTGATGGTGGGCTTCCAATGATTTCCTAGATAAAGGACTTTGGGCCTAATGTTTTGGGCTTTCATTTGGAACCGGGTCTTGATCAAAGTTCTCTATGTTCTCTGCCTCCTTAGAAACCGTCTTTTCAATTGCCTTGTCTTCTCCCCATGATTGATCCTCGAAAAAATCAACCGCCACCTTTTCTGGGGAACATGCTAAAACTCTTTGTCTTTCTTCCAGACTTTGATTTTCGACCAGCGAATTTTGACCAGTAGAGGATTCCGGTGACTCGCAGTAGAGAATTCTGAACATGCCAAAACTCTTTGTCGTTCTTCCAGACTCTGATATACCACCGCATGACCCATCATCATCCTCACAATCCGAATCTGAACCGGAATGAACGTCATTTGTCAAAGGCGATAAGATTATACGGTTATGTTCTTCAAAGACCTTCACCAAACAAATCTTTTCACCAACTTTCACTTTCACCATCGTATTTATGTCGGCCATTCCAGTTGCTAACAAGACACCAAAAGAACACATCATATCATTGTCGAATGAAGGTTCATCGATTTCAAGAATCTTCCCAAATGGCTCAGCTATTCCTCTAATATTTATATCACACCAAGCTTCTATTGGTAATCCTTGAATGTCAATCCAAGTTAATCTCTCTTGGAAGAGCAACTTTTCATTCCACATTTCAACTTCTTGGAACCAATGCTTTAATGTTGATCCTTTCTCTCAGTGATTTGATGATAATCCTTTTTCTCTTTCACGTTGTATTTGTGTTTCTATATTTTCAGTTCCAGCGATCTTCACTGAGTATGTTTAGTGATCGCTGAAGAACTTGCATTGTAAATCTATCAGAGACAACAATACTTCAAGAAGACAACAC